ATGATTCCGGGGAGCAAATTGCTGGCCACTAGAACCATCCAAACCCAAGTAGGGTAAGCTGCGTCCGAGACTCCCATTTGCCACCTTCATCATATCCATGCTAGACATACCATTTGAATAGAATCCTGCGGAAGCTGGTGGTGACGCGCTAATGCTGAGGCTTGTTGATGCGGGATTTTGTTTGGTGGTGACTGACTGGGGACGCTGCATTACAGTGACTGGCTCCCTCAAAGTTACTGAGGGCAAGTTGGCCTTTGGTTCATTGGTTGGCATCACATACCGGGTGGTTGGAGGTACAGCCACCTGCAACGAGGATGGCAAAGAGTACGAAATAGAAGCAGAGCTGGCACTTGACCACCTTTTCTCCACTGGAGTAACAACTTGCGGTTTTCCCCAATCTGGCTTAGGCTGTATCTTTCTCAAAGACTGCATGTTCTTATTTGGGGAGTCCACAACTCCAGTTGTCATAGTTTTGATGTAGTTTAAATCTCGTTCATCTCTTCTCTGTTGTTGAGGGCCAACTGAAGCCAGTACCTTCTGTTGAGGTCTTAAAGCTGCATTTTGGACAGGTATTACCATCTTAAAGTCAAGACCACTTGGTGGGACAGGGTCACTTGTTTCTTCTAATTTCGATGGAGCAATTTTTGGTTCTTGCTTCTGTGTCTTCAAAGTCTCTTCAGCCTTTTCTAGGTCACCCTCACATGCAACTACAGCCCTTTCAACCTCCTGCTTCGTGCACTTGAACTTCACCTCCATATCTGAAATCTTCGTGAGCTCTGTCGTAATATCAATTTTCAAGTTAGCACCAGTGTCTATGTTTGCAGCAATCTGCTGCCTACTTTCTTCACTCCGTTCAAGGAGCCACATGATGGACTCTTCAACACATCCTTCATTTTGTATAAGAGCCATTGTTGCCTGTTCTGAAGAGAAGCCCATTGCTACAAGTTTCTGAGAAAGCATCTCTAATTTTCTAGACATGAGGTACCCAGTACAACGCTCATGTAGCTCCTGTGCTCGCCTCTCTTTCTGGCGTTGATGCTTCTTTTCATTTTTCTGCCGAATCTTATCGCGTTTGTCAGTATCACAACCAAGTACAGATTCTATGCGAGCTGCATTACTAGTTGCATTTTTCTCCTTTTGGTCCTCTGACTCACCAGAGTAACCATTATGGTTAGACATTGAATCAAACTCGCCTGTTGTACCGGATGAACTACCAGAATGCTCCTCAGTTTCATCAATGGTTCTGAAATGACCATTGGTTTGGCCTGTTGGCAAGGAACCAGAGGGCATTGTATCGAAGTTGTGGAATGTCCCTGAATCTGGATTGTATGCATTTGAAGGAGCACCATTCCCATAGTTCAGAAGAGCTGAAGAATGTTTTGAAGAGACTTTAGCTTGTTCCTTGGCTGCCTTTGCAACCAACTTATCCTTTGACTTAGATTTGGTTGCTGGAGACATTTCTAAACTTTTATCACAGTAATTTCCTGCAAATAATCACACTGAAAATGTTAAATACCAAACCACCATCAAATGATTGTCACTTAACTCTATGAGGACTATCAAAGTAATAATAACAGACAATATGAAAAGGTTCAACCAAGACTCTCAGCCCACTTCAATAGAAAGGAATATAATTAAAATAAAGAAAAACAACACCAACACGCAGTGATGTCCCAACTATTTAGACTCATTTACATGGATCTTTTCTCACCATGAAGCTCTATTGAGGGCAATATCCATAATTAAAATTGAGGCATTTAAATCTTTTTATTGTTTCAAGCAATGTTTTTGGCAGGTTTTCCTCTACCTTTCATGCACCTCTAACTCTAATCAACTTATCTTATCTAATTACAGCATCCATAGAACTCCTTTGAACATATTCATAACATCTTAAACAATTTTCTCATATTATTCTCTATCAAGACAACAACTAAATATTTGCAAATGAAATCATTTCTTATTCCTTCTATCTACCTCAGCATTTTCACCTTAGCTCATCAACATTTTGCACAAGTTTCTTAACTACCTGACACTCTTATTCATAAACATCAACTGGCCTATAACCATATCTCAAAATTAGTCCGGTGGTGGTGGGTCTGGTAGACCTATTCTAAAACTGGTCTATAACATTACTTCTACAAGACTGCTATTCATAAGATTCTTGCTTGGGACAGTGTTTACAGCAAAGACAATTTGTACCAAAGCAATTGCTCATTTCTAGAGAAACATTAGATATACTATTTAAAGAATTAATGCAATATGCATAAACAAGTATATAAGTAAATCCAGTCCTTTAGCTTGAGGTCTTACCATAACCTATAGTCATATAAACTAATAGAAACAGACACCCATAAAACTTTGAGGAAACAATTACTTGCATCTCAAAAATGATAAAGACTTCCCACAATATTGTCCCAGTAATGATCCAACTATGTACAAGGAAAACATGAAGTTCTATTCGTAAAACCTCATTGCAACAAAAACCAGCATACTCTAAGCTTAAACATGCTAAGTAGTACATATGGTATAATACTCTATTGAAGATTTAAAGGTATTTGATGTACAAGAAACAAAATAACGGACTACCAACCGCAGTTAGAACTTAGAAGAGTCTATAGAAAATATTGAACTGATACAAACAAATAATGTCCTGACCATATCTACCTCTTAATATAACGTGTGATCATGCCTTTTGTTATCAGTGTTATTAAATGACAAACTGCAGTGGGAAATATAAATAGGACCTACCAAACTCAGAACCAAATACAACAAGAAGAATAAAATCAAGCTAAAATGTCTTGGAATATCAACTTTACAAGGGTAATTATAACTTAGACATCTGGAAAAGGATCAAACAAAGGAGAAACGATGAATATAATAGGAAGACTAGAGGACCATATTGTCCTTAGTTTATTTGCTATATAGTTGTCGATAAATACTAAAAGAGATATCCTACAACATAAACCCCATCAATGATAACAACAAAAACCAATTTGGCACATCAAATTCAACCCAAAAACCAAACCATGCTACCACCAAAGTTTCTAAATTCTAAGCCCAAACAGACAACACCATTCACAAGAGAATAATTAAGCAACACAAAATATCATTAAACTTAGACACCTACAAGCTTCCCCCGTTATGAAAGATCTTTTTTTTTGTTGTTAGATAATGAAATTCAGAGACCCCTCACTAAAAACAAAAAATAAAATTTACTGGAAAAATAACATCTTACCACAAAAAAACAGAAAGTTATTAAGATTTCGGATGGTAAAGATCAAGCAAAAATGCTTCAATAATTTTGATATCTATTCCACACATTATTTTGATGAAATACTGATTATTTTTTAGCTCATTAGCAAACATATCTCCTTATATTAAAACATCCAAACTTACATTTATCAATCTATCAAAAAGCTTATTGGAATATTAAACAACTGTTATAAATTCATGCCAACATGAATCTAAGGTGCCTGCTGCTATTGCATGAAACAGTCCCATAAATCTCAGGTCAAAGAATCATAATATGTGACCCAACAACAAAATCAACTAGCACCAACTTAGGAGTTCATAAATAATTCTAACCCGCTTATTAGGAAACATGAAATTCCAGCATTAGGACGTGCACATATCGTAAAATATAAATATTCATGAGATTGTTTTTGTCCGCCAAGTTTATCATGACACACGATCACGTGAAAGCAACATGATCCGGAGTATCGATAACAACAGCTGAATTGCATCTATCAAACATTTTAATAATGCTATAGAATGATTGAATACCCTATTTACACAAATCATTATCACGATTCAAACGAGCAAAAGATTATCACAAAAAATAATGTATTAGATAGACGCGGACCCTGCATTCCGACCCAAAAACAAGGACCGTTCGATTCGTTTGACGGAGAAAAAGGCCCGCTTGCGCAAAACCTCAAAATTTGTTTAAATAGGGTATTCAATCCAAAGAATTAATGGATCTACTACGGCAGTCTCAATTAAGCAATAAATAAAAGAATATTCTTCGCCAGAAAACTCTCGAAGGGATCAATGATCCCAACCAAAAAGCATAAGCAACCAAATTAGGATCCCCAGGATCCAAAACCCTAATTCGAATCCCCCCAAAGATCGGCCCCAACGAATCACCAAACAATATAAGAACAGGGCGCGCAATCTAATAGTCTTGTTAAAAAAAGGGCGACCGGAACCGAAAATCCATACAGAACAAAGACAATCACCTGGTAGGACGAGCCGGAATCGAGAAAAGACCGAAAACAGACGTGGCAAAAGCAGATCAAGAGACTGGAACAGAAAGGGGCCGGGGAGAGAGGGAGGGCACTGACCTGAAAGCGAATACAACGGAATCGATCGGTGCCCGTGACGGATGGAAGGGCAGTAGGCGTGATCGATCGCCGGAAGACGAAAAGCTAGGGTTTTGAAGGAAGGGGAATTGGGGGACGATAGAAGCCGATCCCTTTTGCTGTCTCTCTCTCTCTCTCTCTCCCTCCCTCCTTCACGATCTACTTGCGTGATGGACGGACGTGAGGAAGTATTAAATCGAAATGAGAGGATTTGGGTTCCGGAAGTTTGTCATATATAAGTACCGCAACTGGGTTCCGACTCGCCAATTGACTCGCCCGATTCCAGATTGGGTCTTCAAACACTCTGTCGAATGGGATCGAGTTCCAATTACGAGTCTCAACTACGGCATAGCGGTCAAAGAATCACGTCGTCATGAATAGCATACATGTATATATATACACATGTATTATCATGTGTATATACATGAATAGCATACATGTATATACACATGATAATAGAATATAAACGTGTAAATAAGGTCACACGAAAGATTTTGAATGGTCGAATTAGGACATGACTTTATCTGTATTGACATGGAATCGTCGCGTTTAGGTAAACCTACTGTCGCTTCTCCTCCTAAGGGTAATACGGTCATTTCAGGCCCGCTGAAAACCCCAAAGCTGCTGCTTAACTGCAACCCTCTCGATGATCGGCATTTCTCTCTCTCTCCTTGCCGCTGCTGCTGCTTCTCTTCTTTCTTGCTGGCCCGAAGAAGGAACTCCCACCGATTATTCACTTCTCTACGGAGAGTGATCGATGGGGACGCTGGGAAGGGCGATCTACGCCGTCGGATGCTGGATCCGCGAGACCGGCCAGGCCATCGACCGCCTCGGCTGCCGCCTCCAGGGCAACTACCTCTTCCAGGAACAATGTAAAGATCTTCCTTCCTCCGTGTACTTCTCTTGTTCTGATGATGCACGCCGCGCGAATGCGCGATCACTTGGATTGCTGTGCGACCTCCTTTTGTGGTTTAGGTCCGAAATCGAAGTAGATGTCGGGAGGATTTAATTCTATTGTAATGACTTCTATGCAAATTTTGTCTTTTTTGTTTTGTTTTGCTATAGTCAACTCTTATTTTTAATGTGGTCTGTTTTCATTTGGCAATATATCTTGATGTGTTAGTATTAGGTCTAATTACATATTACTAATTAGCTACTTTTAGTATCCTCTATATTTTCAAAAGTTACATTGAGATCTCTATATTTACAAAAGTAAAACATTTAACTCCGTTGCTCTAATAAAATTTTTCTCACTTTTTTTTATTTTTAATCCTGTAAAATTATCTTTTTAATCTTGTACAGGAATCTCAATGTTTCATTTTAGTAAGTGTAGAGATTCCAATATAACTTTTAAAAATTTAAGGATCGAGATGCTAAAGGTAGCTAATTACAAGAGGGAAAGGTAGTTAACTTTTTTTTGTTAACTTTTTCTCTGCAGGTTATGTTTCTCAATGTTTAGGAAAACAAAGAAGGTGTTTGCTTAGAATTAACAAGTCCTTGTAATTTAATCTTATTTAAATCATTTTAGGATTTCTCCAAAATTTTACCAATGAGTCTTCTAACTTGTAATTGCTGGTTTCTTCATGGCATTTTAGTGTCGAGGCACCGGACACTCATGAACATATTTGACAAAGTACCTAATGTCCATAAAGATGCTTTTGTGGCTCCAAGTGCATCTGTCATTGGTGATGTCCATGTGGGCCAAGGTTCATCAATTTGGTATGGATGTGTTTTGCGAGGTATGTTTATGTTAAACAAGTTAGTGTGGTATTGATTATGCAGCTAGTAGAGTTTCATTATCCTGAAGGTGTCCTTTTCTTTACAGAATTCACTTGCTTTAAAAGTGTCCGATTTGTTAAATATTTGAATGCTTTTGATTTAACTAGAAAAATTCCATGTAGCTCACCCTGAATTGTAGGTACATTACGGCTTATGGTTTTTTTTTTTTTGTATTGTATATCGCTAAAATCAAAAAAATACTTTGTTAGGTACCTAGGCAATGATGCTTAGATATGAAGTTGGTTTACTAGATAGTTTCCAAGATATTAAGTTGGTTATCAGATAAATACTTCTAAATAGGTATGCAGGGCCTTGACAGACCTATACAAACATTGCTGTATATTTTCTTCTGCAAGTTTCTGCAACTGATGTCATAAAGTTGCTGTTGGGGTTGGTGCAGTGGGCAGCAAATTGAGAAAGTGAATAAAGAGAGTTCACGTACGAAATGATTTCAAGGAACTTGATGTAAGCAAGAAAAAAGTGGGAAACTGAGAGAGAAAATGTCTGGGAAATCTGTTAATAGCGACTCCATTTATATCATCGTAAAGCTAATTTATTTACAACTCTTGTTAACGTGAGTAGCACTTACTACATATTCTAAACAAGTTTGAAACTATATCGTAGATGTAACAAAGGAACTCCTCGGGTAACTTGAATGATATGGTTCGCATACTTTTAAAATGGCTAATGCTGCTCACCGACATGTTCTTTGTTTATAGCATCCTTTTTGTTGTATAATATTTTGTTTTGCAAGGTTTGTATTGTAGCAACCATATGCATAATTTCAAGAATTTATGACATCATCCTATATCCATAACCCAAGAACTACTGGGATGTGGAAATTTGTCTGAGGCTTACACTTGCATTCATCATTGTAACGCTGGTTGTTGCTGGTTTCATTGAATGACAATGAAGAAGAGTTTTATCATGTGCACCTATCTATTTGATGTCCAGATATTGGTCCCTTAAGACAGTAATCAAGGATATATAGTTCTAGTATAGGTGGAACTTGTTGCTCATAGAATGTATGCATTAAGTTTGGTTGGTTATCAGCAGTTATTAACTCCTTTCTTCGGATCCATTGCAGGTGATGTGAACAGCATCCACATTGGATCTGGCACTAATATACAAGATAATTCCCTGGTGCATGTGGCAAAATCTAACCTAAGCGGGAAGGTCCTACCAACTATAATCGGGGATAATGTCACAGTAGGCAAGTGATGTAATTCTCCTGAGCAACAGTTTTACATTAGCTGCCAAGCCCACAATTTACTTGGAAATCATAGACTTCATTCTTCTTTGTTAGACTTTATTTCTTGATTTGACCATATTATGTTATCTCTATAAGTAACTTGTGTCCTGGGCTCCTAGGCATAAAGTTTAGAATTAGAAACCTGCATGTTGTGGTGCAGATGTAAATGTTGACTTTAATTTATTGTTAGTCCCAGCATGTTGTGTTAAGTTTTAGAATATGAATTAAGGTAGCAAGATATTTTGATTAACTTCTTCTAAAGCTCATCATTGTCTTTAAAGCTTAAAATTTACAGGCCATAGTGCTGTCTTGCATGGATGCACTGTTGAGGATGAAGCATTTGTTGGAATGGGTGCTGTCCTGCTTGATGGGGCTGTTGTGGAGAAGCATGGAATGGTTGCTGCTGGAGCCCTTGTAAGGCAGAATACAAGAATCCCATGTGGAGAGGTTATCAGCTGTCTGTCCCATGATTTTTTTTTTTAATTAAGTTTATATTTGTCTCCTGAATTCATTACCATCAGCTAGCTCTATCGGGTAGGTCCAATAATTTGATTTGGTCCAGCAGACTTCCATGCATATGATCTAGTGATGGGAGTGATAGAGGAATCAATCTAACAGAGTTGGTTTCTGCCGCCGCGGAACTTGTGGTGGCTTCAAACATTAGAACATGTGATCTATTGCGGAAGGGACTAAAGGGGCTGTGCTGCTAGAGTTTACCAAAGGGGGGGAGGGAGGCTACAGTTAGAGGTGGCATGACGGTAGTGATGGAAGCTCAAAATAATTTATCATATAATATGATGTTTGATTATATAAGTTGAGAACTGATATCATATATATCTATTATAACACAAATGGTCTCGGATTGGGTCATTACCAGATAAAATTGACCTGGATCTGTGTCCGATCCATTGATGAACGAGACTGGATCACAGACTCGATGGATCGGAACAGATCGATTGACGGCCTTATATTGAACCATGGTGAAGCAAAGATTAGTGATCATTTAACTTTACTCATTGACTGTGCTCATTTATGAACTCTGGTTATGCAACAGGTATGGGGAGGTAATCCTGCAAAGTTTCTGAGAAAGTTAACTGATGAAGAGGTAGCTTTTATTTCTGAGTCTGCTGCCAACTATGCCAATTTGGCCCAAGTGCACGCTGCTGAGAATGTTAAATCTTTTGATGAGATTGAATTCGAGAAAGTATTGCGCAAGAAGTTTGCTCGCAGAGATGAGGAGTATGATTCCATGCTTGGAGTGGTCCGTGAAGTCCCTCCGGAGCTAATTCTTCCTGACAACATCTTACCAGACAAATCTCGCAAGCCTTCTCAGTGAGTTAGGCTGAGACAGTCAGCCCACTTCAACGAACCAGCATCACGAGCTTGTTACATCATGGTAGTGAGTTTGGTGGTTCGTATTTCTGTTGCTGTCCCAATAATCTCAGGTCGGGCTCTTTTTTAGGATCGGTCATGTACTCTTGTACTCTTCGATATCGTATCTGTTGCTGCTAGAATCCTGAATTGCTTTCAACATCAATTGTAACAAGAGCACAAAAAATTGTGTTTTTTATAACAACCCATCTTTGTGACACAAGTATTTACTTGGTGTGAATGAGATTCATGTTTTTGTCAAGGCACTTGATTTACTGCAATACTTTACATGGATGTAACGATTACAGTAATAAGCTATTCAATTATGAGAAGTAAACTGAATGCTTGCTAGTGATGCAGCAGGAGATGCTGCAGTGGGATCAGTGGATCCACACCAATTTACTTTGGACTAACTTAGATCTAGAACTGATTCGATCATGGACAGTGATGACGAAGTATACATTGACCGGATGACCAAATTTGACTTTGATCATGAGTCGTATCAGACTTTCTGAACCAAAGTCAGATCCCATCCGAGTCGAGAAATTCCAAATTAAACCTCGTTGATTTCTCCGGTCCATTCTTTACGTAAAGAGATCTCCTTAAGTCATAAAGGAACTCTTTGTTTTGTTTTTACATGACATATTAAAAACATGAATTAGATTACGTGACAGATATGGTGTCGAAAGAGTAGATCGATGACCAACATCTTGTTTGGAGATGTGTGGTTTCTGACTTCATCGTGTATTGAACAAGGGAGGTCTTCAAACTTGTGTAGTGACCAACGTGCTTTAATTTCTGTTGACCAGCCTCAAAGACTTCCAAGGCAGAATTGCATTAAAAATGACCAGTTGTTTTCTTTTCCTCCTGAACTTTGTGTGACGCACGCAACCATGAACAGTCAAAACCTAAGGTGTGCATTCATATTGTTAGTGTCAATAGGATTCAGTGACTTTCTACTTCCAGATCTTATAATCTAAGTAGCTCAGTTGAGTTCACATGAGTCGACCATACTTTGTTCTAAACCCAACTTGTTGCTTTGGCAACCCAAGCATTCCTTTCGATAAATTAATCCTATGATCTAACCAAAGATCTCAAATAGGAAAACTGGGTTAGTTCTGATAAGCATGAACTTAAAATAATTGACGGTTAAAGCAATTGATCACATATTTGATTTGTCACAAATTATTTACTTTTAATTTTTAATTAATAATAATATTTTTTTATGAACTAACTTAACTGATAAGACTTTGTCAATTATTCAGAAAAAAAAAAAGATTTCAAAAGTCTGAATGAAAAGAGCTCAAACAATGGAGAACACAACATGAACAAATGCAAAGCATCCAAATCAAAGTTGAGTGGAACAGGAAGCTTTCAAGCAACATCAACCAACAAACCATGTTAAACAAACAAGGACCAAAAAGAGAAGAGCATTTGCAGTATGGTGATTTGTTAGGTCAGCCAAATCATGGTGCTTCTACATCACAAGGACCAGGCAAATGAATCATTAATGGGTAATGGTTATAGTGCTTGGTGCCTCGTCTCTGTCATTGTCTACATAGCCAGTCTCAAAAGAACAAATGGATAAATGTTTCCGGAGTGCTGGGACTATATCTTGAGTCCTCAGGCTTCATATTACATTTGGTGAACTTGTCACCACTCTCCCCATTTATGCTACTACTCGAGTCAATGTGTCTAAGTCTCCATCAAGAACTAAACACCAAAAAAAGGAGGAACCTCTTTTGTTTAGTCTTTGCAACCAAGTTCAGCAGGTAGATACAGACTTAACAGCGAGATGCAGATGTTCTTCTGTACAGGAGGAAGGTTCCTGTAAGTTGGCGATCCATTCCCAGAATAAACAGAACTAATGCCGGCCATTTGCCCAACTCCTAATTTGGTTTCTGGATTTCAGAACAGGATGTCTGTTGTGCACCTGTTTTGGTAGATCATGCAGTTCCATTACTTGTATAGTTCGCTGTTTTTTTGCTGCGGCAAGTAGCGTGAAACACCCATCAGATGAGCTATTATATTTAGCTACAAGGAAATCGATAAGATCATATTAGACACCGGGAACTGAAGCATACCATTTTCTGCTTGCTGGTAACCTTCGTGAAGCTTCCTCTTTGCCAGTTCTAACTTTTCTCTTATTGAGGATTCCTCTGAGCACTTTGTTTTCTGCATCGAATACAAGATTATTAGATAGGTCAAGGTCCTCCAAACCTACAATATCTAGAATTTCTAGCAGAACTTACATCTTGTGGAACCACCAACAGCTTCCTCCGAAGTGCACCACTGTTTTGATGGTGTTTAGGATTCATCTGTCTGCCAGCATTCTGTGTGTGGGGTAACTTTGGTGGTCTGCCAGGCCCAGAATCCAGAATAACAGGTTTGCTTTGCCTGTTTGCAATACCTTCACACCTTCCTTGGCCGATCCCAGGATCCTGTGGCTTTCCCGGTCTCGTAACTGTTTTTTGCTGCTTCATCTGGCTTTTATCTTCCACGATTGCTGAATGCGGTGGTAGTTGCCTTCGTGTCACTTCCTTCCCTTCTGGTGTAATGAATTGTGATGGCTCTTGCCTCCTTGTCTCCGCTTTCTCTTTTGGAATGACATATTGTTTTGGAGGCTGTTGTTTCCTATGCGGCACATCATTTTCCGGAGACCCTCCATTTTCCCATGGCTTCTCAAACTCTCCATTATTTCTAAAATCTGGAGTAACATTTTCAAGAAGATGACATCAACATATTGAAAATTACAAGATGAAATGTACCAGGAAACGATAGCAGAAAGCAGAGGAAATCATAGCTACTCACTTCCATCGTCATCCATTTCATCGAAGAACTTCACATCCAAATGGTAAGAGAAAGGCACAGAAAATGAAACCCGATCAGTCAAATTCAGAGAACAGTGGTGCAACTTGGACAATGGATAATAAATCATCCAAACAATTGTATCTTATACCTCAGAGAGCTGCATGGAAGTAGTTTGCGAGGCAAATAGAAATCCCTCGTCTAAGGGGGGAGAAGGGAGCCCTTCCTCATCTTCCATAGGAGGATTTATAGAGTCTGGAGAGTTATCTGAAAAATCATGTGTTCAATATTACACATAAAACATGACAAACGACAAAGTCATCCAAGCAAACATGAAAGAGATGCTATACCTGCAATTGCCGCTGTAGCCCTCACCCACTCCTCGGCCAAAACCTTCCAACCACTGTCACACAAACAAAGAAATTGAAGCAATGTTAGACAAGTTTCTAGCCAGCATGTCTGCACACTATTTTAGGCAGTATGAAGAGTCTCTTGAAACAAGTTGAAAGAACAATTCATCAGTCATATAAATGACCCTTCCATCAGATCCAAAGCCAAAGGTGCAATTGAACAGAATTGTTCATCATTAAACAAGTGCCTCCACCAAACCAATTAACCATTAAGAATAATGCAAACAAAATAAGCATAAATGAGCAAGGATGGAAACAAAGATCGCCTTATGAGCAAGATACAAAGTGCACTTACGAAGATGGCATGCTAAACCCTTGTGCTCTATGTAAGAAAACAAAACAAACCCTACGAGTACCAGCACCTTAAATGACTTACGAACTCTATTGTAATTCTCTGAATAATTTTGGTATAGAAAGATGAACCTACTCAATGAGAGTGCGCACAAGGTGGCGAATTTGCTTCGAGTTGTGCCTCCGCAGACAGTTAACCGCCTTTCCAATTTCAGTGGCCTGAGACCCAAATATACGGAGATTACAAAAAACAGGAAGCAAGGCTTTGCTTTCGTAGGTCAAAATTTATGCATGTATAAGAGAGAAAGAAACTTATGAACTGAAACATGTGTTCTATCATCACCTTCAGTACTTCAACAGAAAGCTCCATCAATTGCAGCCTCCTCAAAGACTCGAACAATATGCTATCCGACTGCAAACCAGCAAAGTATTCCAAATCAAGATCAAAGAGAGAGAATATAATCTCAGTAGCAGCAGAGCAAAAGAAATGCTTGGGCACCATCACAGTAATGCAAATTCAGCTATCTCAATGCATCGAACAGTTTCAGTGCAACCACAAAGACATCAAATTTATGAAGCAAACGAGGGCACAGACCTCATCACGGTGGTTGGCAAAGATCTCCTTTATCCGCAGAACCTCCCCAACGATCTGGCTTTCCTCTTCGATCTCCTCGGTAAGCGCCTCCGCCTCGTCGTAGCTGTAATTGCTCACAATCCGGTTCAAGTCCTCGGGTCCGTCGTTGCTGCTATCCACTTTGCTCTCCTTCTCCCCGTCCCGCTTAACGCTGCGATCGCCCTCCTCCCCCTCGGCGACGCGATCGCACCCATAGCACCGGGGTAGCAGCACGGCGAACAGCTTCTCCACAATCTGATGCCTCCTGCTCCTGAATTCCTGGGGGTAATCCGAGGCCGCGACGAGGATCGCGTGCTCCATCACTTCGAAGATGTCCGAGTTGGCGCTGCGGAAGAACTTTCTCCAGTAATCGAGCGACCCGGACGAGCTCGCCATGGCGGCGAGGGGCGGCTCCAGCGACCAGAGGACGAAGTGATCGGAACCGGAGCCCGCCCGCCTCGGTTTGATTGGTTCTTGAGACGCTGGGATCGAATGTTGGACGCGATTCCGATCTGTGATCGGAGAAGCTCAAATGGTCATCAATGTCCCCGCCGATTGGCGCAGTTGCTATCTCCTTATACGTTATCCAAACAACATAGAAATCCAACGAAATTTTCCAAGAAAATCACGAAAATGACCGAATTTTCCTAAGATTCGCTACGGATGCATCCAACAGCAGTCCAAAACTGCGGTTTTTCCCACAAACAAGGGGGGGGAAAAGGGGATCAAACTCCTCCTTTTCTTCCACCTCCTTCTTCCCTTCAAAGAACCCAATCTCGACAGTTCCTAATTCCCAAAACAAATGCCTCCTCCACGGCTCGTAAAAAAGAACCTAAAGGAACCTCTTTTTTTTTTCTCTTCCGTTTTAAGTTCCCCCCCAAATTAGAGAAAATCTCGAAGAAATCACTCAAAAAATCCTCCTTTGTTCTCCCAATCTCCTTTCTCACTCTCGATCATCGACCTCGATCCTCTTTCCTTCCATGCTCTGCAAATTCCCAAAAGAATGAGGAGGAAGGGAGGCGAAGAAAAGCGCAACCCACCGAAGCAGACGCAAAGAGACAGAGACAAATACGGTGGAGCAAATCCAACAGCCGAATTACTC